AAATGAATAACTATAAGAAAGTGAAAATCAAAATCAACAAAAAACTATGAACCAGAGACACTTTTAGGGGGGTGGGGGCGGGAGGGGAGGGATTGGGGTCAGAATGGGGGGGCTGCAATTGTATGGGGAATATAAAAATAAAATTTATTATTTAAAAAAAATAAAAATATTGAAAGTTGTGAAAAAAAAAAGAAAGTTTCAAAATTAGGATAGTATAGCACCTCATAGTACAAGAACAAAGTCTCATTAAGTTTATGTCATATAAATATAGGTGGCTTTAGCTTAACAGATCTAGATAATTTGTCATATTACAAGAATTTTTTGAAAGTTAACTTATGAGGCTTAATTAGCCTAATATAGAGGTGTTGATTTGTGACCTCCTTATCTAAAGACTACTTAAAGTCTTGAATTTTTTTAAACAACTGAGATTTTGGTAAAATGATGACTCAGGAACAAAATATATCAAAAAAAGTACTGAACTAGCAAGTGTCTTCTTATCTCTCACACTTGATATAATACTGGTTCACATCTTGTAGCTACATTTTTTTAAGTAAGAAAAGAAAATTTTTGTTGGTATTCCCCTCCTTAGGTTTAAAAGCACACAAAATATATTGCAATTTCCCTACTCTATGTCTTACCATATGTGAGTGAATAGAGAGTTGGAAAAATTAAATCCAAAATTCTGAGTCTGTTGTATACTACCTGAGAGACTTTTGGATAGTTATAAAAAGTTTTAGGTCTAAATTTTCTCATTTGCAAGTAGATCTATGTTAATTTTTACTGTAAAAAATAAGTTATATAATAGATACAAAACAATTGAAGCACTAACACCATATGGTGAAGCTCAAAATATAGAGCTTTTATTTATTAAAAAATAAGTTATTCTCACTTGGAAAAACATTATGTTCATCTACTTAAAAATATATACCCGATGCTGTTTTCAAATAATATATCTCTAGGATAGACTTACTACATCACAGCCATGTTAGTATTTTTCTTCTATAATTATGGATAACAGCTATAAAGAAAAAAATGTAGATTCCTGGGCCTCCCAGGTGGCGCAGCGGTTGAGCGCTGGGTTGCGAAGCTGCCCGCGGCCTCTGCGGCGCCGGTTCAATCCCCGGCTGCTCCCCGGCCACCGGAGGAGGGTCCCACATGGCGCGCAGACCTCTCCTGCCGCCCGCTGCTCCCCTCAGCAGTGTACTTCGGTCCTTCTGCCTGTTCTGCTCCCTGCTCTGGCTCTGGTGAATTCTCTCACCCTCCCGGCTTCTGACTGTACCCAGTGCATGTATAAACCAAACAAACAAACAAATAGATAAATAAATAAGACATGCCTCTAGAAAAATTAAAAAAAAAATGTAGATTCCTTTAAAACCATAAAAAGTATCAACAAAAACAAATGAATAAAATGAGAAAAGTTCTATAATAGGTTCAAAATTTAATGTTAGAATTTATTATTTTGAACTACAAACATTATTTTTAGCAATGGTCCCTCTTCTGCCCAGCATTCTTATCACTGCTTTGACCTCGTGGTTTGAATAAAAGCTAACATCTTGCAAATTTTACCCTGGCCACTGTTAATTAGATGAGAGCAGGCACATTCAGGGTTGTTTAACTGCAGTCATCATCAATAATTAGAACGGGTTGGTTTTGTACTCAAAGACGGGCCATGCAGATACCTTCTCCAGTGATTTTGAAATTGGAATCAAAGTAGTTCTCAATCCTTGTAACAGAGAGGGACTACAATTCATAATATGAGATAGAAAGCCTGGAAACGCTACTTTTGTTGTTTACAGTTGTCCCTAAAGCCAGCTGGTTGTGTAACTTTTGGTGGTGAGTCTCTGGGAAGAAATGTACTTCCTTTTGGGCCTAAGCTTGTTCAAGCTGGATTTCCTTCATTTTCAAACAAGATTGTTCTGAGAAATGTTTGTTATTCATTAACTCCCAGGAAGAGCAAAACACAACATAGCTAAACAAAATTGTCTTCACATCTCATCATTTATACTGGAGAGTTTCTGGATAGATGTTCAAACTTGGGGAAACAGTGACTATTTTTTAAAGAATCAGACATTGATCTTCAGAAATAACTGGATTAATCACTCCTGTAGTGTGATTTTCCCATTTTTAGAGGGAATATCAGTGTGATTCCTCTCCCTCACCCCATAGAGAATAGTTTGGTTTGAATGGAATACATCCATTTAGCCCAAAAGTGTTCTGTTCCAGCAGCTGCTTAAACGAAGGATTTAGTACTTTATATCGAGATAAAACTCTTCTTAGTATTTGCTTTACCCTTAGGTTCTACCCATTGGTTGTTCAATTAGCTGGGAAATGTAAGAAGCCTACAATGAGAAAGGACACTTGATTTTAACAATTGTCATATATCTTAAACTCCTTAGATTTTTACAGCTTTCCTTTTCCAACAGTTATTTTAATTGCTACATATAATCATGTATAGAGGTTTCCAAAATATAATTTCTTAATAATTTTATAATTTTAAAATCTGTTATTATTTTAACATGTTCAAGCATTGAACCATCACCAAATGAAATAAGCAGCAAGAAGAGAAAATGTTACCTCTCAATCTATAAATGGTATTGCATGTGCCATTATTTTCTATCTGTTTTGTTACTAAAGGGAAGTAAGAGTTATGGTCTCTAAGATAATCATCTGGAAAATGGTCTAATTTTGTTATTTTTTCAAACAATGCATTAGCAGATTTTCCCAAAAGTGATGTTGTAGCTATTTCTTATTTGGAGCTTGTACAAAATACACAAAATTGTTTCTTTTTTAATCCCTTTTAAAGCACAAACAAAGCTTAAAAGTCAGGGCTTCTTCTTATAGAAAAGAATAAGATGCTCTCATCAACTTTCAAAGCTAGGTTGCATTTAAACATTGGATGTATTGAAAAAAAGAACAAACTTTGATGTCTCTGAGATCATCTGTTGAGCCATTCTTATTTGCAGCCCTAATAGTCCAGCACCTTTTGCTTTCCAGCCCCTGATGAACATGCAAACTCTATTTCAACATTGGGTCTTTAGCTATTCCTTCTCATGTTGCTTTCTTTTCCACATGCAGGTTGCAAAGGAATCATCTCTGTTCTGTACTCCCAATATTGACCTGAACATGACAAAGTTACCAAATGTTTTTACTGATTGAATACAACAATCACTACAAATACTATTATAAATAAAATGCCTAGGAAAAAAATCTTCTTCATACAATTCAGTGAGGGAAGCTATTTCTCTAGTTGTATCAATTCAGGTATCATAATACCACTGTCAGATATGACTTACTCCGTGCAGATACCTATAACATCAGGAGGCACTCTATTATATTTACAAAGAGAAGATAACCCAAAATGTAAATTCACTAAAAATTCCTAACTTTATATTATAGAATGAATATAATACACATTTTACTATAAATTTCATGAAAACTACTTAATAAATAACTAATGGAAGATAGTATTCTCATAATTTCAGATAGTAATAACATTATATACTTGTTCTATCTTGGGCTATACATAATTGTATAATGTTCTATACCAAGAATTCAGCTGAAAAAAGAAATTATGACTCATGAATGAAAGAGTTGCTTTTGAATTTGTGCTTCTTTTCTATTTATATTTGTCTTTCTTGCATTTTCTATATTCTATTTATTTTTTTATTTAAATATTTTATTTTATATAATTCTTACATCTTTTTCCATCTTTGCACAATGTATGCATTTTCATTTTGGTTATATTCCCCATATAATTGCACCTCCCCCCTTATTTTGACTCTAGTCCTTCCATTCCCCACCCCACCCTCCCACCCTCCCGTAGTGTGTCTCTGATTTATAGTTGCTTGTTGATTTTGATTTTTATTTTGTATTGATTAATCTTTTTCCTGGTCTCTTATTTAGGTTTTCTAAATTCCTGCTGTGAGTGAGACCATCTGGTATTTTTCTTTTTCTTTCTTACTTATTTTGCTGAGCATGATCCCTTCTAGCTCCATCCATGTTGCTACAAACTGCATGTGTTTATCTTTTTTGATTGCTGAGTAATATTCCATTGTGTATATGTACCACATCTTCTTGATCCAGTCATCTATTTTTGGGCATTTGGGTTGGTTCCATAGCTTAGCAATTCTATATTCTATTGACACTGCTGTTGTCAGGGCTGATTTTTTAGACAACTACTTTCATCCAATAGGCCTCATGCTGCTCTTTACAGGATATAACCTGATTAGCTAAGAAAGCATTATTCCATATACTTAGTCTAATATCTGTCCTTTTTTTGGTTTTAATTAAAAAATGGTTTTGTTCTCTGTTTCATGACCTGGAAGTTCTCTCTCCCTTCTATACTACCTACTGATCTGAGTCAGTCTTTATAAATTCATGGGGAAAATTCTATGAAGAATCTTTATGATGAAGATAACAACTTTCAGATAAAGATATAATATGAAACACTAACCCCTCCCTTGTTGAATGAGATAGTGATATTGTGAAACTTCCATCAGAAGCTCCCTGGAAACATAGTTCAATGGTCTAGACAATAGACAATATTATGCTGGTTGCATCAGTAATAAAAGCATCTGCATTTTGAAATGATTTTAAAAATTTACTGCAAAAGATTATTTAGTGTGTATAAAATACTGTATAAGCAGTAAATGACCAACAAATAGTAAAAGCATCATTATTCATCATTAGATGAAATCCTTTTGCATATTAGAGTTGAGAGATGACTCCACTTCTGGCTGCTGAAATCAAGTTTTTCAATAACTCCTTTCCTTCCCCACTTTCAATGTGTCTGAAATAAATTAACTTGCATATTAGTATGAGGGAATGCCTATAATTATCTTTAGGATAAAAACAAAAATCTTCAAATTACTTATAGGCTATTTAATGATACCTCTACTATTCTTAAACAGATTTGTTGGTGGGGTTTGTATGTAATTACTTTGCATGATGTACAATAGAGCACTTTTAATGGGACATTATTCAAAGAGATTTATTTGAACAATGACATACACAACCCATCTGCAATCATTTATTTTCAACCTACACATTTTTCAATGTTTGCAGAAATACCCTCCAAATATCATCATAAAATGTCATGATTGATTCCCTGATAACTTTTCCCTAAAATCCTGAAAGAGAAAATGAGGTATGACTAATTTTTCTTTAGTGTACTAACCAAAATTTTGGATATTGTTGGAGAGATCATCACAATAGTATTTTTTGGAATTGTTTTTGCTGTATTCTAGATTGGATATGGTTTACAATGACACAAATTTAATTCCAAGGCATTCTTTGAAATGTGAAACAAAATATTTTTCTTGCTATAAAACTTCTGGGTCTTGTTCTTGTTCTTCTTTTTCATGTCCTGGAAAAAAAAAAAACCACAAAATTCAGTTAATCTACAAATTTTTGGAAATTGTTTTTGGTAACAGTAGAAGAAAGCAGTTAGAAGCAGATAATTATATATAGTGCAATGTTTCTAAAAACTGACCTGTTACCAAGTTTGGAAGCTTTAAAAGGTGGTGACACTGTACAGCTACAGGGATGAAATATCTGGTCCAGTTGCAAGTGGGTTACTTGGAATAAAAGATTCACCTGGGTAGGAAGCATGCACACGACGAGTAGCCTCCTGAGAAGTCAGTTGGTGAAAGGAACAGAGCAAGGCTGAGCAGACATAATAATACCAAGAGGTAAATATTTTTAACTTTTTACTGCACATTTGGGGTTTCGTAAGCATAAGGGTAGGTCACAGTAAGAGAAATGATGAGAAACATGTAAGTTTACCTTTTTGAATAGTAATGTCATATGCATGAGTTTCCCAGCCATCAGCACTGTCCCTGAAGACCATTTATACTTCACAGCATTAATATTCATTAGGTGTAATGCCATATGTTGCACAGCAGGATGCCTTGCCAGCAGACTGTTTGTCATAAAGCCAGATTTCATAAAGCATTGTAAAACAAACATTATGATGATAAATACAAAATGACAGGCTAATTAAGAGAATCTTAATTGCCATTTTCCATAATAAACATTTGTTTAGTTGTATCTACCTTTGTGTTAGCATCCTTCTTGATCAACTTTCATTCGGTGCACCTTTCTCATCATTATCCCCCAAGGGAAAATTATGCCACGTATGATTTAAAATACTTAATGCCTCCTTTTCCCCTCCCACAAATTGATTATATGGTAATGAATAGCTGTGTGCCATTGATGTTTACAAATATTAACCTTTAATCCTAAAGGCATGGCAAGCACCTCTAATGCAGGTTGTACACTCACAAGTCAGATGAAATAATAAATTGCAGAAATCAATACATTTTCAAAGTTTGAATCTCTCCAGATAGTTTGTGAAATATTTATACCTAACTTTTTTTTTCAGTTGAAAAATTCCATTCTGGATTTAATGGGACACTATAAACTTTTAAAAATAAATCCTGAAATCCATTCCATTTTATTGAGCAGCTCTCGCCAAACAAAAAAAGATGATTACCCACCTTACATTATATTCGTGAATAGAGGGTCTCTAATTTTCCCTCAAGACTTATACATCATATTTTGCAGCTCCCTAACTGCTGTAGTTCATGAAAAGTGATATTAACATCTTTTGTAATTTGGATTATAAATATCTTATATTTTTCTCCCCTTCCTTTATAATATGCCTCTTAAAGTATGATATTATTTTAGTTTAAAAATAGGGGCTTGGGCCTCCCAGGTGGCGCAGCGGGTTGAGCGCAGTGCTGTGAAGCTGTCCATGCAGCCTCTGCAGTGTGAGTTGGATCCCCAGCTGGCCAGGGAGATCAGGGAGATATCCACATGGCCCGGCAGGAGACCTCTCCTGTCTCGCCTGCTGCTCCCCTCAGCAGTGCTTTAGGTTGTCTGCCTGTTAAAAACAAACGAACAAACAAACAAACAAATAAAAAACAGGGGCTTACTAAAAAGTCATAATACTGCATGTGGAAAGGGTGAATAGACAGCTCCTACTGTCATTCCTTTAGTATTTTTTACTAGGATACTGTTCTAGTCCTCAGATTTCCTATGTCGTGACATGATTAGACTGGAGTAGACTCAAAAATCAAGTTGTGCTAATAAATATTTAATGACTAGATCTTTGATGGATGGAAAAAGCTCTGATGTAGAGTTTGTTGCTCTCAAGCAACCAATGAGAAGACACCTAATAGGAAGATGGAAAGAAAATGTGCCTGATTGGCTGTCATGAAGATTGCTGTCCTGTATAAACATACAATGAAGTAATTAGCAGTAGAAAGCCACCGAATCTTGAGTTTTCCATTATGGGGAGGAAAGGGAAAACATTGTTATTTTGTGTATATGTCCATGTTTCCGAAAAAAATATTTCTAAGCTGAGGGACTGGCAACATCAAGTATATATTTACATAGTTTATTAATAATTCTATTGACAAATATTAACCAAAGATTATAAGTTTACAGGCAACTAAATTGGTCCAACCAGAATTGCAACATTAAATGAGGCAGTAAAAATATCACAATGCTAATATTTCCTGAAATATATCTAAAAAATGGAACACATGTATTTGCTATGATCCCATTAAAGAATTTATGAGAAAAGTTTGATATTTTGAATGTTATTTGCTTATCTTATAAAAAACTATCAATTTAAAGAATAATTTGTTCTACTATGAAGTTCAATATTTTTGAAGGTAGTGAAAGACTGAATTTATCACCTTTGAAGATGTGTCCAAGTCATATGAGAAAATTAAATTTAAAATATTTATATTAAAACCTCAACTTTCTTCAAAACTACCTTCTAATTTTGCAGTGTGATACTTTATATATGTATATATATATATAGTAAACTTAAAAATAAGCTTGCACTTAGACAATTCTACTTCAATTGATGTTATTAGATATTCTTCCAGTCAATTATTTTGTGAATCATTACAGTCATATAATTTTATATAATAATTATTATATAGTATTTATTATATAGTATTATATAGTAATTATTAATTTTATCATTTTAATAACCATATCACTAAACTTGGCTTGGAATCATGGATCTACATAACATGGGTTTTACTTAGGATCGAGCTTGGATGAAGTGGATTTCTGATAAATTTGGGAATAAGGATGTAATCTAATGCTAATTTTTTGTTGTAATCAATTGCTTTGCACTATATCCTTTCTATGGGTCAATAAATATAAAAATGATGATTGGAGGATTGAGAAAGTATTTTGAATTTGTGCAAACATAGTACTTCTAGATAAACTTTTCGATGAGTTTATCCTTCTCACAAATTAATATAAATCCTAAAATTATAATATATTCTGAGTTCAATAGCTTTGGTGAAAGTATAGACCTATTAAATACTAAAACATAGACTCTAAGTACTATATCTTAATTATTTACATGCTGTATATATTGTTTTGTTTTTCTAATGACTCTATCCATGTTAAAGAATCCCTTCATTTGGAATATTACTTTAAGCCTTAAAATAATGAAGTTTGAAAAAATCTTTCATCATTCATTCTTAGAATGAATTTCAAGAATCCAAAATTATATTTGAATATGTGTCAAAGTAGCAAACTCTGAAAATTAGTAAGTGTTCAATTTCATTATTGCTATTTAAATTAATGCAAAAGTGTTCATTAACATCAAAATAATTAAAAAGCATTCCAGGGCATTATACAACAAACAAAGCAGTAACAATTAGATTTGAAGGGATAATCCCATATGCAATACACACTGTTCAAAATTTCAGGATAATATCTTTCTACACTTATTCATGAAGCTAAGAAAAGAACTCGACTTTGTAATGTTATCAGCATATGTAAGCATTTTAACTTTTGAAATCATAAAAAAAGAAGGAAAATAATGAAAGATAAAATGTATTTACTAAAATAAAAGAATCACACTCTCTTCAGACAATTTTTAATTGCAATCATTCCAACAATCAAAGTTATAATCTTCTTTTACTGAATAAACTTCATAAATAGCTGTCCATTCTGAGTTCTATACTCTTGTTACTTAGTTCAGAAAATTACTTTCATTTTAAATTTAAACTAAATATTTAAAATGCATATCTGAAATTATGCATTAGTGATTTAAATATATTTTTCATGAGGATATATTTAAATATATTTTTCATGAGGATAAATACATTAAGCAGTTATATCACTAGGCTAAACAGCTTGACTCACAGTTAAAACAAAAAGGTAAATATCTAAACTTCATTACAAGGGGAAGAAAGAATCATTAGGCAAAACTGACATGTAAATTAAGAAATACACCTATTTTGAAGAAAATTCATATCCTGAATATTTATTGTCTTAATCTAATTATCATCTTTATAACATTTAAAGTTTACTTACGTTAAAGTTTAAACTAGAAAGTTTACTGGTTTATTATCCTTACTAAAAGATAAATCTAGTAATTTAATCCCTTTGGCAGAATTATTAATCACTTAAATTTACAAGGAAACATCTACTTACCTTTGCCTATATGTGACCCACCATTAAGTTTTTTCAGGTTTGCCAGATGTTTGGTTATAAAGAGCAATTGCTCTTGGTATAAAACTGTGAAACCATTCTCTGAACATCAAGTTGAGTAAGAGAATAAACAGTCTCTTTTTGTTTTTTAAACGCTTATGTCACCAGTTTATTCTCAGAAACATCAACCTGAAACTGATTTCAATAAAAATGGAACTAAACAGTGAAGCAGATTATGCAGGTTTAGTTTGGTACAACATAAACCAGACTTGTGACTTCTGGGCAGATTTTACTGCTAGACGCGCCCTGATCGCATCTTTAACAACCTGGCCAGCGCTGTCTCCTGGCTGCTTAGGTGCCACGTGCCACTTCAGGATTCCACTGCTTTGTTCTCTGACTGGATCTTTCCCCTGCTGTTGGAATGGCGTGCATTTGATAACTTAGTGAATGGAGTACTCTATGTCCCTTCAGTGATTCCTTGGTAACAAGTCAAATGTTAATTAACTCCATGGGTTCATTAAACTTTAGTCCTGCAACCAGAGATTTAGTGGCATTTAGCTGATTGTCGATTTTTTTCCTTTTGATAGATGGATCATCAGAAAAACATTTCGACATATTCTCTATAGGTGGGGGAGACTTCTCACTATTGTAGTTTATATTCATTCTATCAGCTGTTTTGTTGTTGTTACTGATATTATGTGGTTACAGTTGTGTTTTGGATCATTAATAATCAGAAAAGCCTAAGAGAAATACTATTTTACATTAATTATAGAGCGAATTATATATAAAGGACATCTAAAATTAGTATTTAGAAAACCTAAGCTAGTACTTAGGAATTATGAATAACGTATTTATTAAAATCTTAGAATAGTCATTTAAGTAGCATGAATTTGTATGAGTAAAAATGATCAATGAATGTTAGCTTTTTTAAAATACAATAATATATACAAAGGTGTTTTATAATAAAAGTGTCATAACTAAATATAAAATGATTATATGGTCAATAAAATTTCTGAGAAAACTGATCAAGAAAAATTACCTAAATTTTTCACTTCCTATGTTTTATGATAAATTTGACCTGCACAGCCATCATTTAGTTCTTTAACTTCACAGAAGTAATAGAACATATATCATTGTATCATGTTTGTTATTTCACAGTAGAGAATACATATATATTAATTATAACTGAAAAAGCAAAAGTACATTTCTTGTGGATAAGTCCCATGTGTTAATAATTCCAAGGTATCTGGTCTAGAGCTGAACCTATAAATTAAAGTCATAAAACATTTGTCTGTTGATTATGATGTGACCCTCTATCCAAACTATCTAAGTGCCATTGCAAAAATAAAAAAAAATGTTTCTTGTAATCAACATAAGAGTGTTTGGAAAAATTATAAAAATAATTAGCAAAGGCTGTAAACTGTCTGCAAAGACATATAAGGACTCTTGCATTGTTCAACCACCATCCAACAGTCTTTGCAAAGAGACAGCTTGAAAATAGCTGTAAACCTTCTGCATTTGTGTTTGCTTATTTTTGGTTCAAATTCAGTTGTTTACTTTTTTTTATCGGACTCCTAGGTCCTATTTATAAAATAGCATGTCATTTTCCTTAAGAAGTCTTCCTTGCTTAATTTTTCTAAATTTGCTCTAATCTCAGGTCAAAGTTTATGTTTTTGAACTTGCATTTTGTAGATCTTTCATTCATTATTGCATTATAGCAAATTTTTAATCTCAATATATGTGCCTTTAAGTTTACAAAAATGCACATTTGAATCCTTAGAATGACCAAATTACCCAGAGTATTTATACATGAAGGGACACAATAACAACAGTCTTATAAAAAGAACAAATGATCAACATTTCAGCTGTAACACATTTAAATTCACGTATATAGAAATCTAACCTTATTTTGTTCTAACTACTCACTCAGAGTCCTAATGCTGCTGAACTTTTAGAAACGTGTAACCTTAGTCTCCTCGGTAAAATTTCTGATGGATGTTTATAGCACAAAAGAGCATAAATGAGCTGAGGAAAGGAGGGTTATGTGATATTCAGGTTTTTCTGAGGCAAGAGAACATCTTCTCAGATGGTTTCCTACAAATCTCGACACCATGGTGTCATATTTTCCTGTTTTTCCCACTTTTCCAATCTTTCCTGAACATGCAAATCCTGGAGTCCAGTCAGTATTTCACAATGTGCCAGGGAGCCAGGGGAATATGAGAGGTTACCTGTTATCACTTAAAAATCACAAAGTCTTCTCTGGAGTGTATCTACCTCCTCTGTGCTTGTGGCTCCCCTTAAAGAGACCGGTGTAACTTTAAATTTTCATTGTCTCCTGCCTGTTTCTCTTCACACAAAGCCCAGGTTCTTCTTCTAATCTGGACCAAGCAGGTTTGATAAGGTAAGAAAATATTTTCCTCTACAAATTTTTTTCAAAGCATTTCGAAGTATGTTTGTCTCTTAAAAAAAACTTATGTGGCAAATTCATAGTCAGTGGAAACGAAATCAATCCCAAATATCATCACTGTTTGTCATATGAAGTATCTTCTTACACAGTTTTCATAAAGCAAAAAAATAATAAGTTGCCAGTACTTTCAAATCTGAATTTCTAGCTTCCTCTGAAAATTTAAAACATTGCTACTTAGGAGATCCTTCTACCTGCAACACACAAAAAAATATGTTGAGTTAGACTTGCTCACCTAAGACGTGACATGTGATCTGGGTTTCACTGCAGTTTCCACCACTCCTGAAAACTGTGTCTCATTTAAGTTGCCATTTGTCAGTGATCATTCACTGCTGATTCTCTTACATCTGAACATGTCACTCGTCCACAGGACCTACATTGGCCTCTACATGCATTTGGTTTTGTATGTAGGACAAATGGCTTAAGCTTTTAAAAATCAATAAAAATTTTTAGAAGACTTTTTTTCTATCTTGTTATTATTCCTTGATGGGAACAATAAGCATAGGAGAAGTAATTGTTTCTTAAAGACTAAGGAAAAGAAAGCATACCAGAAAAATAAAGGACTAAATTGATATTTTAAAAATGTTATTTCATTACTGACTTATCAAATAACAATATATTATTCTAATTAGCATAAACTGTAAAAATATTAATTTTTTGTATAAAAAATTGTATAAAGCCTTTAAATGTGATATCAGTTTTTCAAACCCATCAATAGGTATATGCATATATTGCAGTAGATTTTTGGAAAATTTTAAAGAGTTCATTTAAAAGTTTAAAGAAATTTAACACTTTTAGACACATGACTGAGAGTACTGAATTGTAATTAATTCAAAGTAAAACCAATGACTTAAAACCTGCATGTAAAATTTGAAATGGACGACTTAGAAGAAAGTCTTTTACAAAAGATGATGATTGTAGAACTGCAGCTATTGTGTCATGCTAAAGCTGTACTAAAATGGAACCAGAAGTGTTTGTCTTTCAAAGGACCAGATCTAGTCTGTAAAAAATTGATTTTCTTGCAGGTAGATATCGTAAACATGCTGAGGTTATACTAATTTCTCACAGAGTGCTATGTGCATAGTAGGACCTTGATACAATTGGGGAAAACTGCATGTTGAATGGAAGGAATAAATGGGGTTACATTAAATGTGTTCTGTTTTGTATAGTAAATAACATATGACATTTATTACATAAATGTGTCCTACACAGATTAATTTTCTGTGAAAATAGCATTCATATTACTCAGACATAAAATAGAAACTCGTAGATTTATAAACACATCCATATACTTTTAATAGTAGCAGATAAATTTTTAAACATTTTTCCAGACTTCCCATGCTTCCTCAGCTGTCTCAGCATGAGATAGCATGGTTAGTGGAAAATTTATGTCATATTTTTACTTCTATTTTTTCTTAATGATGTTAATATTCCAATATAACATATGAAGATTTGAGTCCAAGTGGTTGAGAACATGACCCCAAACTTGAACTATGTAACAGAACTAGGAATTGACCAATAATCTGTTCACGTGATTGTAACATGTGCTGGATAATCATAGAAATTGAATTGAGAGAATTTAAACTGTATTTCTGCTGCATGCATTTTTTTGTGCCTTCTTATTCCTTATTGTCATGTGTCATAAATAGAAATATTTTCTTCTTCAACTCACTTTGTCATTCTTTCCTCAATCTTTGGAGGAAAAAAGCATCTCTGTTCAGATAATAAAAAGACAGACTTGAAAAAACACAATCTTTCAAAATTATGCTTAAAGAAATGGGGAGACTGTGATCTCTGACAGAGCTTACCTCCTTCATTTTATAAATGATGAAACTAAGTCCCAGAGAGAATATGTGCTAATTCAATTGAATTTATTATTTTTTCTTTACAGTTTTTTCAAAAATTCTTTTAGGCAGTTCATTGAAAGGGCAAATATGAAAATATAGCTAAACAGACCAAAAAAATGGACACCTTCAATTAAATAACAAATAATTACATAACTAAATAACTTACCTAAAGCATTTTCTTTAATATCACATTGTTTTAGAAAATATGCAAGCGGATGGATGATTAGAATGGTATGTGATAAATGATATCTACAGGGTGAAGTGGTAGATATCAAGAAGTTCTCGATTCCATATGGAGAAATCAAGACATGTCCATAAGAAACATTTATATAACCAAACACTAGAATGTCATAGTATAACTTTCTCATGAGACTCTTACATATTTTGAGTAAATTTGTGTCAAAGACTATTCAAGTTCTCAATTAATGAGGAAAGTAGTTAAGTGGTCAAGCTATCTCCAAGGATTTCAAGATCTAGGATTTTAATAGGCCATCAATAATGACTTTTTTAATATCAAAAATAAGATTATCAGTGTAGATAACAAAATCAGAGATATACTTCCAGAGTGGGAAACTCCGTGGCCCCATGTGCTATCCAAAAGATTTTCTCAAACAACAGCTTGAGAAAGTCATAAAAAAAAATTAAAATCATTCAAAAAATGTAAAAACACTGAAATAGTTCTAAGTGCATACAGACACACAACTTATGAACTGTTTAAGTGGCACAAAGGGTTAAGACGCAACTTATGAAGCTATCTGCAGCCACTGCAGCATGAGTTCGATCCCCAGCCAGGGAGGTGACCCACATGGCTCACCAGACCTTTGCTGACTTGCCCGCTGCTCCCCTCAGCAGTGTATTTCAGTCAATCTGCCTGTTCTTTTCCCCACCCTGACTCTGGTGAATCCTCTCACCCACCACACCTCTGGTCTGTACCCCAGTTCTTATATGTATAAATAAATAAATATTTTTTTAAAAAAGATCTACTAAATTTCAGTAGGAACAGTGCT